AATACTAAAAATAGAAATACCATGTGACTCAGTAATTCCACTCCTAGGAATTTACCCAAAGAAAATAAGATCCCTGATTCAAAAAAGACATATGCACCCCTATGTTTATTGCAGTACTGTTTGCAATAGCCAAGATACGGAGGCAACCTAAGTGTCCATCAATTGATGAATGGATAAAGAAGATGTGGTACATATACACAATGGAATATTATTCAGCCATTAAAAAGAAAAGAAATCCTGCTATTTTCAACAACATGGATGGATCTAGAGGGTATTATGCTAAGTGAAATAAACAAGGCAGAGAAAGACAAATACCATATGATTTCACTTATTTGTGGAATATAAAAACAAAATGAAACAGAAAAAACAAAACAGCAGTGGACTCATAGACACTGAGAAGTGACTATGACTAGTGGTTACCAAAGGGGAGGGGAGTGGGCAGGGGTGGGGTGTAGGGGGCAGGGAACTGTCGAACCACTGTGATGATTAAAAAAAAAAGAAACTTCTTCTGGCAAGTTCCTTACTGCATCATAAGCTTTGTAGCTTTGCTGAAGAGATGATCCACTCTGGATGTTGAGTGCATTCGTGAACGATGCATCAAGTTTTACTCTGTTTTCCATTTTTGCCAGAGGAGTGCAATTGTGATTTAATCTATCATACTATGAAAGAGAGATGAGGTTTCATCACTTTGAAAACTGTGACTTTTAAAGAAAAGATTAAGATTTTGCCCATATTTCTGATGGCAGATATAAGATAACCACAAACCCTCTAGAGGCAGGGTCCGTGTCCACTCCCTTGAATCTGGGCTGGCATGTGACTGCTGTGACCAACAGAGTGTGGCAGAATGATGCTATGCCAATTCTGGGACAGCTTTTAAGAGAACTGGCAGCTTTTACCAAGCTCTCTTAGGGCCCAAGCCCTAAGTTAGACCACTCTGCTGGAAGGGGCACATGGAAAGGCTCTGAGTTGCCAAGGAGAGGGAGAAGGGCCAGCCTCCTTGCCATCCCCACCAAGGTGCCAGGCAGGTGAGTGAAGCTGTCTAACTTCTCAGCCCAGTCCAGCCCAGTTAAATGCCACGTGAGTGACCCCACTCAATGTCAGGTGGAACAGAAGAACCATCCAGCCAACCCTTCCTGAATTCCTGAACCATAAATTTGTAAGATACAATGTAATGGTAATTTAAAGCCATTCAATTTGGGGGCAGTTTTTTATGCAGCATAGCTAACTGGTACAACATAAAAGCCTACAATTTAAACAGCAGCACCACTAACCACAAGAAACTCTGCTGGAATGAATGACTTTGGGGTATCTGCCCAGTTTCTTCCTTCTCTGAGATTCATCCACACCCCCAGCCCGCCTCCCCAGACAGACTGCCAGCTCGTGTTTTCCTCCTATCCTAGTTATAGCTGTTTGGATCTGTGGGAGACATGCAAGCCAAGCTGGCCAGTCAGATCCCCTCCCTGCCCTCTCCTTGCCATGGGCCACATTGTGGGCATCTGAAGAGCTCAGCTGACCAGATTCTCTCTCCCAGACTTGTAGAATTGGGAATCACAGGTAGCTGGTCAGTCTGTGTTTGGCTAGAAGTCACCGAGATGTAAATGTGGAGGGGCTGGGGGCGACCATTTTCCCCTGTGCACCAGGGAGCATGAAGAAAGCAGGTCTGCTGTGGGAGGAGATAGTGCAGGTACTGAGGGGCAGCGGCCAGAGGCCGGCAGGGGAGGGGAGGGAGAATGCTGCTTGGTTTCTGCACAGTCTGGGGCCAGCTGCACATATTTCCTTCGGGATCTGGGAGTCCCCGTGCATCCTTAGAATTTCTTTCTTGCTTATGTGGCTAGGAATGGATTTCTGGATTTTTGCAACCAGAAAAGATGGCTTCCATGATGCCTGTGGTAAGTATGTTGGGCTTGGTGAGTGAAGAGAAAGCGCCCATGCAAGAGCTGACAGGGATATCCCGTCGGTCTCTCTTCCCTGGGTGAGGGCACCTGGAAGTGAGTCAAGCCTGCCTGTCTTCAGAAGTACCGCACACTCAAGAAGCCCGATGCCGAACTCCTGTCCCCAAACAACTTTAAATCCTTCCTCCCCTCCCATGGGTAAGGGAATCCATCCATTGTCTCAGCTAAAAACCGTGAGCAACTTACTTTTCCCTGCCCTGACCTCTCAAATCCAACTGGTCACCAGATCCTGCCTGTTCCAACATGGTCCCCTCCTTTCTACCTGTGGCGACTGCCTTCAGCCCACGGTTGTCCTCAGAGCTCTCCCTGGAAGCAGGTCTGGTCACAACCACTCTGATTACAGACTCCTGGCTTCCCTTTTTCCCGGTCACAGGGTCCTTCACACCAAGATGATCTCCTTGCAGCTCCCTGGTGACCCCCTGACACTCCATAAGCTGCTTCCCCAAGCCCTGCTTATTTGCTCACCTCCTCTTCCTTCTGTATGGAGTATCCACCTGCCCTTCATTTGTCTGAAAACTCAAACCAAATTCAAGGCCAGACACCTAATTCATGAAGTGTCCTCTGACTTGTACTGGGAGCTTTTGTGTGTTAAGCGCTGAGCATTCTGCCTGCGCTGCCTGGACTTCAAGCTAGACGTCATGGTCTGTTTTAGAGGCAGGAACTGAGGGCCACAGAGCTGGCAAGCATGAGAGCCAGGGCTCTGGTCCATAGCTGCCAGCCTGCAAGTCTGTGTGCTCACTACCACACTGGCCTTTCCACTCCCCTGGGGTCGGGGATGAGTGGGGACCCCTCTGTTCCCAGCTGTCTCCACAGCCCTCACCCACCCTCTGTTGTGTTTCCAGTGTGTGGGCTAGATGGTGGGGCCTTCAAGGGTGGGGGAGTCACAGTCATTGCTGAATCCAGTGTTTGGTTCAAAGCAAAAGCTCAGTAAATGTGAGCTGAAGTGACGTATTGCCCTTGGATGATGAGCAAAGCTGTCATCACCATATGTGGCATCTGACAGCTTCCTCAAAGCGTTCTAGACCCTTTTCTTCCACCTCCCCAGTGATGGCAGGGCCTTGTCTGGGTTAAGGCCCCTAGTCCTGCCACCACCCTGCCCTGTCTCCCAGTCCATGGTGCAAGGTGACATCTGCCTTCTTGGGTTCTGGCTCTTTGCACCACGCACAGCTGGGTGACCTCAGCTCTTGGCTACCTCACAGCAGCCACCTCCTGCAACCACATTCTTTACAGAAACAACAGAAGCAAAGCTAAGCAGATGGCAGGTGGAAGGAGGCAGGAGCATGTACCTGGGAGATGGGGCACTCTGAGTGGCAAAGCCAAGTAGGGTGGCCAGAACGAGGGCATGCTTGTCATGGGAGGGAGTGGGCACTGCCACCATGCTCCCCTTGTGCAACCCTATCTGGTCCCACACAGCCAGCTATGGAGGACAGCATCTGCTCTAATGGCAAGCATCCATACAAAGGCAGAAAGAAGGAGCTCCCAGCCCCACCCCACCCTCAAAGCCCTACTGTCTTTTCAGATCACAAATACTGAGCTGGCTTTGTTCTCCACCTCCAAGCCTGAGGCCATCTGGGCAGGAAGGAGTTGGAGTTTGGAGAAAAGAGAGAATTAAGAATCTACCTGCCATGCAGATTAAACAAACAACAAATTGGCAGATTTTTAAAAAAAGGTAATAGCCACTCCTGGCAAATACAGGAAAATAGGGCCCTTCTGATGCAGTCTTGTGGGAGGGTGACTCAGTAACCCTTCCTACAGGCAATTTGCAGTATGTCATTAAGGATTAAAATATGCATTTCTTTTGACTAATTCCATTCCTAGGATTTCACCTTAAGCCCATAATGAAGGATCTGTGCAAATATTTGGCTCCAAGGATATTCACTGTGGCACTGTTAAGAGCAGTGTGAAACCAGGAGCTGAATTCCAACATAGGGCCTAGGTGAGTTACAGCAGACGCTGCCGCCTTAAGGCAATGGGAGGCGGGCTTTCAACAACGGGGAAGGATGCTCCGGGGACGTCATTTGTGAAAAACAGGATACACAGGATGTCCAAAAAGCACAGAAACACAAGATAAACTAATTTTCAAGTAATATGTTCAAGATATTTTTCTTTAACCTGCAGACACTTTTTAGGTTAAGTATCTCTACATTTAAAGCAATAAGTCCAGTTGTCAGTCTGAAAAACTTATCATGAAAACGCTTATTTTTCCTGTGTTTCAAGAACCCATTGCTTTAACTGTAGAGGTGCTGCATCTGAAAATATATCCAGTATATTACTGGAAGATATAACACATTATTTTTCAAAAATAAGTAGATGCCGTGAGGATGCCTGGTCATGTCTATCATGCAGAGAAAAAGGCCAAGAAGAGACAATAGTGTGCTCATCATGGTTATTTCTGGAATGTGGACGCCAGAGCATGTTCCAATTTGTTTTTCTTATTGCTATCTTACTATGTTTGACCAACACATACAAATTATTTTGTTATCCCAGAGAAATGAATTACTTGCACTTAAAGCATCAACGATAATAATGTAAGAGGCTGTAGAGGTCACCTACATGAGCCACCAAAGGGCGGGAAGGACTTACGGAGCTGCCCCCAGACAGCACCTTGACTCACTGTGCATCTGTAACCCCATCTTCTGGGAAGGCACCTTTTCCACCTTCTGTGTGGGAAAAGTGCAGAGTTGCTCTGTGGTTCCCTTTGTTTTTTCTCCAAGTAAATGGCAACCCCCAGTCCAGCAGTTATGCCCCAAGCTTCTGCTTTGGAGTTAGGGTCCCTCCATCCTGTTAGGACTGGTGGGAAGGCCAGGGAAGAGGGCAGTGAGATTCTGCTCGCCCTCCACACTGGTCTGCTCCTCAGCCAGGACTGGCCTCAAGAGGAGGCCAGATGGCACTGCTGCCCGGGGGGGACACTGCCCACCCTCCGCTGCACCTCCAGCACGAAGGAAGCTCTGGCAGGAAACCTCTCCCAAGAGGCTCTACCCTGGTGGGGCTGGGGGGCTGGGCATCCCCAGGTGGGGATTCCACAGGCACCTGTGGTCCCAGACTCACCTTCCAGAGCAGCACAGCCAGCAGCAGGAAGATGAGGATTCCCACCAGCAGACTTATGGCGATGATCCACCCCACGACATAGCCACGTGGCTCCAGATTGTGCAAGGCCTCGAAGACCACCTAGGAGGCAAAGCGGAGGTGAGAATACTTCCCAGATGGAAGTGCCTGAGCGCGGGAGCCCAGGGTGGGCTTGATACCTGCCATGAGGTAGATAGGGGTCCAGACCACTGTTGCTAAAAATGGACTCTGTTGCCAGCTTTCCTGCTTGTAGACGGATAGGCTTTTGCTCGGATCTGAAAAGTACTTGAAATCTGAAAGCCCCAGCTCCTGGAAGGATTGTACTGACAAGCCTGCCTGACTGCAGTACCCCAGAGCGAACATGAATGTGGTGAAGAATGCAGAGGATGTGCTGTGTTCTCGATTCAGGGAAGACAATCGACATCCTTTTATTGTGGTTTGGAACAAAGGACATGGACATGCCCTCCATGTAAGAGCACGTCCTTCCAAGCTCAGCTGCGTATGTCATTTAGTGTGATGATTCAATCAATGCCAGCTTCCCCAGCAGACGGTGGATTCCACGAGGGCTGGCGTGCAGTCTGTCCTTGGTCTCCTGGCCCTGCCTGGCACATGGAAGGCTCTCGCTGGAGGAGCAGTGCTCTGGTTTTCAAGGGGAGCCATGTGCAGTTGGGTCCCATGTCTGGTGAGGAAAGTTTTCCTAACTTTTATGGAAACTCAGTTGTGTGCTGGAGCTGACCGTATGTATCTCCTTCCAACTCCACAGCTAGTGACTCTGCATGGCAGTTTGAATAGGCCATGAAACAAGCAAATCAGGGCCTCCCGCCTGCCAGAGAACTGACTGCTTAACAGGTATTAGCTCAGCACTGACTGTCCTTTGCCTGTGTGTTAGCCTACATACTGGTCATAGCAGAGTCTGATCTTGTAGAATTCAAAGCATCTAATGTGTCTTCCGCTGCCCAGAGACCCTCCCCAACATCCCACTGTCCCATTCCAGGCCTCACTGTGAGGAGACAAAGATCCCAGCTCCAGGCAGTCATGGTCTCCATTGGCTGCAGACAGGCTGGCCCACCTGCAGGTCTTTGTCTAAACTGTGCAAGCCCCTTGGAATGCCCACCCCTCCTTTGGGAATGCTCTTCTACACATGGCTCATGCCTGCAGGCCAGCTGATGTCCTGCCTCTGCCAGGAGGCCTCACTGATCACGAGCCCAGTGGTCCTGCTCCTGTCCAAGCCTCAGAGGTGCCTGGACCCCATATGGACTTGACACTGAGCAGCACTGTTTGGGGTCCCCTAGGGCAGCCTGAATCCCATCTCTCTCTCACATTTCTCAGGTGCTCCACTGTATCAGGCTCTGTGCTTTTCCTGCAATGATGTATCTAACTGACATAACTACCCCATGAGGTAGTCAACACCCACTGTGCCGAGGGGCATGACATGAGCCCAGAGAGAACAAGCAACTTGCTCTGGGCCATGGAGCTTGAGTGCAGAGTCAGGATCTGAACTCAGGTCTAGCCCCAAGCCCCTAAATCTGAGTTTGTCACCACCACTCCTTGAAGATAATCTGCTGCTGATGTGAGCCCTGCACTGGGGAAGCAGACATGACCATCTCTCTCTGTGTGTCCACAGCCACGGCTGGGGCAGGAGGCGGGTGTGTGCTGTGGGGAGCGGGAGTTATTCATGAGGCAGAGGGGCTGCCTCAGCTTCACCTGCAGATCCCAAGTCCAGAGCATTATTTCAAGGGGAATTGAGTAGAGCAGAAGTTCTGTTCCTTATGGGGAGAATTGGAAGTAAACTGCCTACACACACAGTGGTCCCTCTGGGAATGGAAACGAGGCTTCTCTATAGCACATACTCACTGGCTGTGTGACCTTAGGCAAGGTGCTTTACCTCTCTGAGCCTCGTTTTTCTCATCTGCAACAGAGAGGTGGAACAACACCTCCCCAGAGAATTTGTGGGGACAACGCATGTTGAGGCCCCAGCACAGCCACCCCTGACACTCGGAGGCTCCCCTGTCGGCATCAACACAGCTGGCAGGAAGGCTTTACTGAGGTGGTACCTGGCAGGCTCCTCTTTAATCTTTAAAAGCCCTTGATGGATGCCCAGCTGCACAGAAGAGAGCACACATAACCTAAGTGCTCAAGCGGCTCACTGAAGCTTCACATCTGGAATGCTAAGTGTATCTGTGTAACCAGATCAAGGAACCGACCGTGACCAGCTCCCAGTGTGCCCGCTACATGCCTGTCCTGTCACAGCCCACCAAGGAGGCGCCATCCTGACTTCCAGAGCCGCCTCTGCTGGGTGCCTCTGGCACAGTGGGGACTCCATGCCTGCTTCGTCCTCTCAGCCTAGTGTTCAGGAGGTGCCGCCAGGGTGCGACTTGTGTCCTCTCACTGCTCCTGCGTAGCTACTCCAGCACCCACTTACACACCCTGCCCATTTAGGGCTGACGCAGGGTGCATTTCAGGCACTATACAATCCTGATGGAGGAATTCTTGGGGCAGGAGGTGGCGGGACAGAAGTGGGCTCTAATGCCTGCCATCCTAAGTCTGCTATTTTCTGTCCAGTTTAGATTAGAGATTCCCTTCTTTAGAGATGGACACATGACATCGGGCTCTTGACACTAAGAAGCTGTGGATCGAGTCACCGCCCACATTCAGAACCTCCTGGGATGCATTGCACAGATGACCTTGAGGCACTGTGGCCAAGAAGTGCCATCTCAGTCAACCAGGACCCTCCCCTCAGCTTCCTCCTCTGTGAAGTGGGGTCTGAGAGGGAAGCCAGGCAGCGCTGGGAAAGGTGCTGGGGTATGGTCGTGTAGTAAAAATCTGTTGAACCTCCAGCTGATGGTGAATTGCTAAGACAGGCTGTGAGCTCAGCGGGGGTCAGTTGTGAAGTCTGGCCTCTTGGACGACCCCGATGGCTTCTCAGGGACACTCACTGCCTGCCCCTTGGTGTCTGGTCTGTGTTCCAGCAAAGGCATGCTGGAGGTCTGGTTTTGTGGATACAGAGACAGTCAAAAGACTATCCACTACAGTTTAGTCTAGCAAATTCCACAGGAATGCCCTGTCACTTCCCTGGAATGTGTGTTTAATCTTTTACTATTTTTAGTAATGCCGTTCATTGTCTTGGATGTGTTTTATGCTTTGGGAGAACTGGTTCCCACACGTCACGACTCTAATAAACTCATTTGTGTGATGATCTGAGTGTCCTGCAGCTCTAAGAATTCACATTTGAGATAAAAACCCACAGGAAGGAACAGCGGCAGGGGCTCTGGGAGATTTGGGAAGTGGGCTCACCTCCACATGGACAAGCTGGTGGGCATGGTTGAGCCCCAAACCTCTCTAAACATCCCTCTCTCCATCCCCTGGTTTCCATCCCTAGTTCTGCTCCAGTCCAAGTCTGGTCTCTCACGCAGAGGGGAAAGGCATTCATAACTTATCAGTCTTCTACAAGTTATTATGTAAATTTACAGAATCTGGCCCTACAAAGGTAGGCAGGGCTGTTTAACCTTTTCTCAAATTTTAATGTGTTCAAGAATCCCATGAGGAGGCTTATTAAAATGCAGAGCCTGAATGTGAGAGTCTGGGCTGGGGCCTGAAGTTCTGCACTTCAGATACGCTCCCTGGTGTCGGCGATGTCGTTGGCCCATGGACCACGCTTGAGGAAAGAGGCTAGGGTGTGTTCCAGTATGCCACCAAGGGACATGCAGCCATCTGTCTGCTTAATTTTCAAGTTCCAAATACTTCCGAAACATGATAATAACATGGGAACATGATCAACATTATGAGTCAAATAAGATCCGAATTTCAATTTAATATTTAGAAGACTTCAGCTTTGCAGAAAAATAATAGGAATACATGAAGGCTCTTTGAGATTATGGGTATCTTTGTCTCTTTTCTACTTTTTACTATTAAAAAAATTTTTTTTAATTTATACTTTTAAAGTCAAGTTAAAAAACATTAAAAAGGAGACTTTGCTCTAATATTTCTCCCAAGAAGCTGACCTATTCCTCTCTTTTCAGCAGAATTAATCATTCTCTGAGCTTTTGGAATCAATGCAATTTTCAACCCCTTTTAGCAGAGAAAACCTGATATATCAACAGAAAATAGCATAGACTGGTTATAAAGAAGGTGGGCAACCAGGTCCCCCTACCCCCAGCTCAGACCCTCCTTCCCAAGCATGCCCTTGCCTATCCCAGTCCAGCAGCTCCTGGACCAACTTGAGGGAAAACACAGGGCTCCACAAAGCTTAGTCTTAAAATCACAGTTGAGCATTTCACAGCCCCAGTTCCAAGTCCTTTTCACCCTAGAAGGTATGATATTTCTTCCTGTGGATGGCCTCTAGCACACTGTGAATTCTAAGAGAAAAAGGGTCCCAGTGCATGTTCTCCTGTAACCTAAACCAAGGTGGTGATTCATTGTGCGATTCACGAATGCATAAATTAATAAATTCAGTGTCTTTCCTGCCATAACATTAGATGAAGCATGAATATGATTCAGTCTGGAACAACAGAGAATAGAGTTTAAAGCTGGAGTCTCTGAGTGTGTTTCTTGTCTACTTCAAAAATATATTTGCAAATGTCATTTCTGTTGGGAAAGTCCTGGCCATCCCACCATCCATCCATCCACCCATCTGTCCATCCATCCACCTATCCTTCTGTCCATCCACACACCCATCCTTCTGTCTATCCACTCATCCAACAAATGTGCATGCAGCGACTACCACATCTGGACACTGTGGGGGCTCACTGATGGGACCCCGCTGGGGGCTCGCACCGTGGCTATTGCTGCCACTCACAAAGTACTGCCAGGGCGGTCTGCCAGCCTTGAATCCAGCAAGCTGCTTGGATCCTTACCCAGCTCTCCCCCGCAGCTGGCACACTCACCCCTTGCTTGGAAAGCTGATTCCTCCTCACTCTCTGGGCCTTGGCTGCCCTGGAGCCCCATCGCTGGACCCTCAGAAGCTCTGGGAGGGCATGGCCATGCCTAGCTTGTTCCCCACTGCATCCCCAGCACCATGTACAATGTCTGGCCCTTAGCCCTCAACAAATACCCATCGAATAACCAAATGGTGACCATTAGGAAATATGACTTGTGTTTTGGCAAACTACACTGGGATTTTTCAGTTCCTTATGGTGACAGTTCGATTCTCTGCCGGGTGGCAGGTGAGGAGAGGAGGGGGGCCTCTGAGCACCACTGGGTGATGGCACAGGATGGCGGTGGTGGTGATCTTCTGCTAACCCCCTTCATCCTACATCTCAATGTAATTTGAGTGACAAGGGGGAAGGCACTCTCTTGCCATGTGGCATGTGACTTTAACTGTACCTGGCCACCAATATGGTGAAGTACGAGTCACAACCTACTTGGTGCCACTAAACACTGTAAAGTTTGCATCACAAGGCACTACAATGCAGGAGCTGCAAGGGGAGCAATCTCTGTTTGCCACACTAGTTGATGCCCCTCTGGTTGTGATACCTGGGCTTGCGTCTTTGGTGGGCATGTGGGCGGTGGCAGGGGCAGGACAAAGGGACCACAGAGTTAGGACCCGAGGGGGATGGATTTGAACCCAGGCTTTTCTGATTCCCGAGGGGAGTCACGCTACTCCCTGTCCACAGGGGAAAGGCCAAACCAGAAGAGCAACCTTCCCGAAAGGGCCAGGACTGGGGCCTGACCCCGGATGGCTTCAGAGGAAAGGAGGCTAGAAGTTACTGTCCTGATCAGTTAAATGTGGCGGGTTTACTTAGAGGTGGAAGCTGGGCTGTCATCACAGGGCTCCATTCTGGGGTCTGATTTAGGCTGAGGAGGGAAACGAGAGCAGATCGAGGGCCAGTGTGAAGTGGGCTGGGCTCCAGGGGCACCCGGGCAGTGTGAACAGAGATGCTGTACAGAGATAAAACAAGCCGATGATTTCCCTTCCACACTGGATACTTGTCCCTGTCGAGATCCTTTCATCCAAGAAAGCTCGGTGTCTCCCCATGTGACTGAAGGGCTTCAGGGGAGAGGGGAGGGGAGCCCCAGGCTGGGAGTCAGGAGTTCCGGGCACCATCCTTGGCTCGCTCACTGTGAGATCTTGTCTCAGAGGCCCCTGGTTCACTAGAGGAAGAATCTCAGTGATTCTAACCCAGGGAGGCACAGTGGACTCTCTGGGGACTTGTCAAAATCACAGCCCATCTTCCCACCTGCAGGGTGATGGATGCTGATGGCAGTGGGCTGCTGGAGGGAGGGGAGTGCCTCTCCGGACACGGGGTTCCCATGGAACCATGGCGGAGGGGGTCCCCAAACATTTGCCCTGTCAGATTAGCAATGTAGCTTCGCTCATTTATGCACATTATTTTAAAAAATAAAACAAGCAAAAAGCAGAAATGCTCCTCAACCATCTTTGGACAAAGACTTCATATTCTTTCATTAAGGCTGTCACTTGCCCTGGAAGTTACCAGCAACATGGTCTAAATGAACAAGGACCCTGGCTCACCTGGGAGCCCTAAGGAGAGCCAGCAGGTGGCTGTCCCATCCTGCCCTAAGCATTACAGAAGCACATTGCAAGGGGCATTTATCACTTTTTAGAGGCTTAGTGTTGAACCCCCTGCCAGTGTTGGGGACATAGCTCAGCCACTGAGAGGCTCCTGCCCAACTCAGATCAAGAGGCTGAGAGAAGGCAGGGACAGCTGTGTCCAGGGCACCACACTGGCTCCTCCTGAGGCATGACTGAGCCCATGGCCCTGGCCCCGCAGGTCTCCTGACTCCTCTCATATCCCAGCCTGGTTCTCCAGCCTTCCTCGCAATCCTGAGAGCTACCAGATCGCCTTCTGATCCATTCTGGTTCTGCTGAAATGAGACACAGCCAGTCCCTCCTATTTGCACCTAAGATCTCAGTCTGGTGTGTACGCCACATGGCAATGACTTACTTACTCATCTGTGGGTTTATATGTTCAGCATATATCCCACTAAGTTTAAAACATCAGAAAGAGAGGTGTGCCCTGGGAGAGTTTCTAGCCTCAGTGGTTGGCAACTCTCCGTGAAAAGCAGGAAGTGTTGGGTGGAATAGAATAAATAGAATAAGAAAATCAACGTATTACTGGCACTTTGCAACCAGCACCGAACGCAGTCCCCAGGTCTCCCTTGGATTTCTCAGGTTCTGTACAAGGCCAGGTAAGCTTGGTGTGGTTGGCCCCAGCCACATGCTAACATGTCCACCTGGAAGTTCCCCCAGATCTACTTATCAATAAACAGAGTAGAAGCCTCAAGAACCTAGTACATATTTCTAGGTATTCACCCAAATGCTCTCAAAACCACCACTCACACCACAGAATAAAAATCAAAGATACAGAGTCACAGGGAAATTATTTGGTTTCCTGATCAGCTGAATTTACCACCATATACATACTACGTGGTTAAAAATATGATAGTTTTCCTCTCCTCACACACACCCTGTTCCATGCCAGCTTCAACTACATTCCCTGTTCATTCCAAGGCCATAAAAATTTGGTGCCTAATCTAAAATCTTGTGGAATTTTACCTGATTTAAATTTGGTGGCTAGCCTCTATGGAAATTTCCTGAGATGGACATTTGACAGAGAGCCAGGCCTTCGGAAGAATCACGCAGGGAAGAACGTGTTTGTTCTAAAAAAGGCAAACCTTCCTGCTCAAAAAATACTTTTTTTTTTCCTGCCAGGAAAGTTAAGAACAGATTGCAGAACTTCATCTTGGCTCATGGATTGAAAAGGCAGAGTCATGGAAGGGTGGGAGACGGGGGCTTCACGGGATCCTGATGGGGTTACTTTTCTCGTGGGAGTACTGCGATAAGTCAGTTGAAATGACAGCCTCTTCCAAAGAGATCTTGATAATGGAAATATCACCATGGTGCTCAAAATGGAGCAGTAATTAATGGGCGGACATTCTGGCACATGCAGATGACTCAGGATGCGATGTTAGGCCATGTCTTCCTGGATTCCACAGCTCAGTGTTCTACTCAAAGGCAATGTGCCCCATGATTTTTTTTTCCATCTACACAAGGGATTCTACCTGTAGGAAACTTCTTAATTACTTCCATTTGCTCTCAGTTGGGAACACTGTGGTCTACTAGAACATTCTAAACCTATTGGGTTGGCCATGTTTTTCATCCTATGAAAGTTTTTAACCAGAGCCATGACAATGAGCAGTGAATCACCACTCTCCTTCGCTTCCCAGGTGAAGGTCTTAATAAGCAGTGAAATGGCCAGACGGCAGGGGGTGAAGGGAACAGCCGAGTGAGAATATTTGGCCTGCCAGGAAAACCGACCCTCTGTCATGAAGGCTCCACATTGTTCCATTTCATCCCACTCAGTTTCTCTTACTAAAATTACTGCTTGGACAATTTCTCAGTGTGAACAGAGGAGCAAAGCTCTCCATCTGCTAGTCCTCCTCTGCAAGGAGCATGAACGTCCAAGCAGGATTACTGTCCTCACCATTCAGAGTCACACTTGTTCTGTGCCAGCTGATGCCCTCGTCTCTTGCTCACCACAAACAGGAGCAGGACTCAGAGTTCATAAGGCACTCAGAGGTGTATTTTCTCCATGAACCCTCCCCTGCCAGGGTCTTGTAGAGTGGGCTTGGTTCCATGCCACCCTAACATTTAGGTTATGTGGCGTCTCTCTTGCTATTGGGAAATAAATTAATCTTTTCTTTGTAAGGTAATCATCTTTTTAAGTTTATCACTTGTAAACTTTGTCACAGCAACATTGACTGGGCAAAGCCTCTCTTGAAAGAGGGCAGATTCCAGGGAAGGAGATGCGAGAAGCTGGCACCACTGTGTGGCTCATTGGAAAAGCAGTTCATCAGCAGCTGTCTCCCCTTTCTACTTGCCCAGGACCTGGGAGTGGGTGCCAGAGGATGAATTATCCCTCCCCATCCCACTCCAGTGGGCAAGAACAGGAGACAGTAAAGTCTGGGGCCACACTTCCCCCTCAGCATCTCCCACCCCGCAGTCCACATCTTCTGGTTGGTGTGCCTCCCGCGTCTCTGAAGCCTTCGTGGAGGACAAGGGGCAGGTGGAGAACAAAAGAGAGGTGCTAGGACTTGGCGATTTGTATGTGACCTTCTAAAGCTTGTTTCTGAAACACCCAGTGTTTGCCCAGGGAGCAGTGTGACTGGGAGGGCAGATGAGGTTTCAGGGAAAGGCCCGAGAAGGATAAAAATAGTCTGGGCTTCGGGTGGAAAGCCAAGAGCTGTCAAGGGCTCCTCCAGACTGTTTTCCTTTGGCTGGCTAGAGCCATGTACTGAAGAACAGTGCTCCCACAAGGGCAGGCCGCAGGGCCTCCCAGGGGGCCCGGGCGCCCAGGCAGGCATGGTCTTGGGTCGGCCACAGAGCCATTGTCTTGGCTCAGACCCTCAAACTCCACGCCAGGTCACCAGACTCCCCCACCCTCTGGGGCAGCTGACTCACCGTCATCTCTTCCGGGTTCCCACTGGCTATCTCCACCACTCTGAGGGCAGAGTCCACCTTCACCTTGGCGCGGGTCATGAACTGGATGACCGATGAACTGTCCTGTGCAGCAAACAACACGATTCATGGTAAGCTTTTTCAGTGGCAACAGCTGGGCCTCAAGTACCAGCAGAACTGAAATTCCAAGGATCTGTGTGGACCGGACGCACTTTCATCACTGAACTAGGTATCCCCCAATCCCAGACACCCCCACACAGAGATTTCCAGTCTCTCTGTTGAGAACTCTTTCATACCAGGGTGCCTGCTGGAAACCAGAGGCGCTCTGCCAGCTAGCGACACATGCAGGCTTGTGTGCTGTGGTTTCTGAGTGGTAAGAGCCAGATATTTGGACAATGATATCGACAAATTCACAAAGAGTAAAGAATAAGTAAAGCTGTTTGTGTACAAGTCCAGGCCTGGCATTCCACAGAAGGCATCTGACTTACATTTCTCAAGCTTCTTCCTGCCCTGACCACAACCCTCAAACTTCACATGATGTACTTTTAACTCTTTCTTTGCTCTTAAATGAAGCTCTTTTGGGGTCAAAGCCATTTAACATGGAAAGTGGGAAGTGCCTGGCTTATACATCAGGCTATGGACGGCCTGAAGGGAAAGGGAACTGGCGGCTGTGGGGGCGGGGTGCACGGGCTAGGACATGGGAAGAGCCCACCAGCCAGGTGTGGGCTCAGATTCAAAGCCCATCCAACAGCTTCAAGCAGGGATGGAGAAGGAATCTGTGAAAGACAGGGGTTGGTAAAACCACAGCTTAGGGAAGGACCAGAACCTCGAGCCGGTGGTACAGACGATGCTGCACTGACTGTGGGGTGGAGAGGAAAATCAGCTTCCGCCATAGAAACAGGCCACATAATGGAGCATTCGGCAGCCCACATCCCACCTGTGGGAGTGGTTGCGGCTCTGCCAGCAAGGTGCCCATGGGCAGCTGCCCATGCTTACTCAGCTGGCCTGCCACACGAGGACATCCATATCAGATGCTAGCCTTAACCCACTTCTGGTTAAGGCAATGCTCAGAAGTCCAAGTGGAGGACTCTTCTCCATATAAAGCAGCTCTGAGGGGCCTCTGCCCATCTCTGCCAAAGACCTTCCTGGGAGGACACGTGCGGTTGCCACTGTGTGTCCCTTGCCCAGGAGTCATGCACTAACTGCTCTTCTTTTTCTAAACAGCAATGAAACATAGTTTGAATGCATCTGGGAAGCCTGTGACTCAAAACAACTATTCCAATTAGTTGATGCTAAGAAGTAAATAATTTTTATTGCAAATGACCTGTTTTTTTTTTAACCAATTTAACAGTACTGTAAGCAAGTGGTTTTTTGTGTCAGGATCTGCCATACTCTCAGTCTTGAATAATCACCATCATCATCTTGGGTATTAATAAAGACAATAAAAATAACAACGATGCTGAAATTGTTCAAGTTAAAGGTCAGGCAGATGAGAAGCCTGACAGAGGACAGGCCCGAGTGGCGGCCACAGAGGAGCGCTTTCAGAGAAATCTGAATCCTTCAATAATTTCAAGTCAGATTCCACACTTCAAATGAAAACTTGTTAAGGTCAAAACAATAAAACCTCAAATTCTCTTGTCTGGGGCCAGACCTTGAGGTCAAAGGAAATAAACACAGGCCCGGGCAAACCATAAGGCTGGCGCTGGTCCACATCCTCCTGCGGTGGGGGGCCCCCGAGCCTCCTCAGGCTCCACTCTCCAAGGAGGTCGTGGCTGCCTCAGGGGCCTGCATCCTGCATTTCAAGCCCCAGAGCAGCTGGGGTCCCATCTGGCTTACAGGTCAGCTGTGTCCCAGGCCTGGATTTTCTATTGGTTTCTGCTGAAAGGATACTTTTAGGGAGAGTAACCCTGTCATGCCATATATACCTACTGCTTTCTGTTCTCTTTGGATGAGGACTGGGCTGGACAGTCCACAGGGACGCAAGTCAGTGGGACACATTCCTTGGCAAAGGGTTGCCATTAGTCATGGAGAGAGGGAGCGATGCAGAAGAACAGCCCGCAGAGCTGTGTACAAGGCGGGCTTGAGGCCCAGCAGTTAAATTAAGCACAAATGACTGCAGTGCAAGTTGCAGCCATCTGGGTTGAGGGTGGAGGAGAAATCAGAGTGGCTTCCCATGAACAGAGCTCTTTGGACAGGGGCAAGTGTGGCCCAGGAAACAAAACTGTCACCAGGGCCATTGGAGGAAGATGAACGGGCTGGGTAAGTGCCTATATCACAGTCCTACAACCTGACCTGGGGACCTATGCCAGGTAGGCACTTCCTGTGGTGGGGGCTGCCAGAACTCCCTCTGGAGTCAGGATGGCCAGAGGTGCTCTGATTTGTGTCTGGTCCTCTCCCAACCCCGTCCTTTTTTTTGTTCTTAACTGGTGTAATTTATTATTTTTTTTT